TCGGAATTGGTTTTTATTTGGGTCAAGAATACCTTGAACTTTTCGAATCCATGTCATACCTAAACATAACATTGGTTTTGGTTCACCGTTATCAATACGTGTAAAATTTCCACTAGCTGTAACTGTTTTACCATCCTTATCCTTTATAGTGACTGGCACATCTGTAAACCATCCTAATGATTCAGTGATATATTTAGAGTTACCTTTTATATCGAAATTAGAAGGCTTATCAGCTTTCCATCCAAGGGCATTAATTGTTGCATCATTCAAGGCTCCAAATTCACTTCCATTATCTAAAAAAGATTCAGAAATAGATAAATCATTTATACTAGCATTCAGGTATTGTAAAGATGAAAACCACTTATCTGATTTTGATTCTTTTTTCTGAACTGTATGGGACTGGCACATTTTACGCATTGCTGGTGAAAGCTTTGGCAATAGTTCATCATATGTTTCAGGATTTTTTGGTGTCTCACAGAGTGAGTATGCCTTTGCATCTAGTAGTTGTTTTTTTTTTCTGATGAATCATACCATATATTTTCTTCTTCATCATACCCCCCCTCTTTATCTTCCTCATTCGCTAAATTAGAATATAAATTAATGGGTTTAAGAGGAGTAAAATAAGATCGATCAAAATTAGATTTTGCAATATTGCCTTTACGTATATTTAGTTTCTGGAATTCTTCAGTTAACTGGTTCATAGCTTCACGAGTTTCATTGAGCCCTTCCTCCATTCTATTTATTCTAGTAGATTGGTTTGTTGATCGCAATCGTTCTGGTTTAGTTGCTATGGGAGGGGGGAAAGCTTTATCCATCCACTCTAGTCTTTCTTCTCTAGAAGGATTTGACCATCTAGGATCTCCCGCCCCTTCATAAAATCCGAGTAATTGTTCGTAATCCTTGGGTGGAACTGGAGGACGAGATTTTTTGGGTTGTTGACTCATTTTTGATTCGAACTCAGCTTTCAATTTCTCCATCTTAATCTCAGCTTTATGTTTAGCATCCTGTTTATCAAACATAGCTTGAAAAGATTTTTGCATTTCATCATACGAAGGGAATGCTGGTTGTGAAACCGTAGGTTGTAGAATATTACTAGCAGGCTGTGAACTTTGAACATTGTCGTTTTGCTTTGTAAATGATTTTTTCTTTGATTGTACATAATCAGAGTTTTGATCTACATATAAACTAGAACGTTCAAGCCACATATTTTTCAATATAATGAAAAATTCATCAATTCCTGCTATATTTTCATTTCTCATCCAACTATAAAGTTCTCGATCACTTGATAAATGTGTCTTGAGAGTTCCTAATATTCGTGCATCATCATTTGGTACACCTAATATGAATTCGAGCTTCATAGGTATCGGGATTATCAAAAGGTTGGAATCTTTCTTGAGATAATCTTAAAATAGCTGATTGGCTAGTTCCAACTGTTTCTCGTTGATATTTTGCATTTAACCATGCTCTTAAAGTATCTGGACTATCAATATTAACTGCTGGATTTACAAAATTATTTCGAGCTGGGACAGGAGCATATTTTCCTGCCATCTTACCTTTCATAATTTCAACTTTGACAGCATCATCGAAATCTCCTGCATTGTCATTTTCAAGAGCTGTCATATTTGGTACTGCGGGTGCCCAAGCCTGTATAATCATATCACAATAGTCATTCGGAGGCATTTGTCCTATATATTGAGGAATCGGATTTAACAGAGTCGATACATATTTTAATGTAGGTAAACGTCTACCTTCTGCCATATTTTGTGGGTTATTTTGTAACAATAAAATTTGTCCCTGCAAATTTAAAATTCTATTTTTCCACTTTCCCCATTTAAGATCGATCTGGATATCACATAAATGTAAATCATTTTCCAACGTATCTATTCTGATACGACATTGTTGTAATTCTAAAAAATACTGCTGGCATACAACTCTTTCACTATTATATGCAGTAGTTATTAAGTTGAGATCTCCTTGAGTTTGTGTTAACTCTGTTTGACGTATATCTCGTTCTGCTTCTGCATTATATCTTCGTTGTTGCTCATTTATAAGATCGGTTTGAAGATTGTTGTATTTGCGACGTATCTGTCGTGTTACTCTT